TTGCCATGACGACGGTGACACTTGAAGTTAGCTACGTAACCGCCGCATTACAGTTGTTCAACACATTACGATAAAACAGGAGTAAAGCTTTGAAATGGTCAATCATTTCAAAAACAAGACTAATAAATAAATACTACAAAAACGATTGATCAGCTGATTATTTGCAACGTTATTAAATAATTTTCTGCAAGCAAATTATTTTAATCTTAAAATAACCTACACTATTGGCTGTATGTGATTATACCGTTGCCTACTATGAAAGCAAAGATTGCTGAAGCATTGCTGTCAGTTAGCGATGCCCTTAAAGAAATAACTAGTAAGATGCCAGACCCTTGATTTTGTTTTTGTTATTATTGTATACTAATATAATTTTACTAATGACGTAAATATACCTATATAGGAATTTTATTATCTTTATTTAACTGTGCATTCACTTTATACAACTATATACAACTTTAATAGTTAAACCTCGGTTTTACGAAGCAACTGATACTTTTTTTGAGTTTTACTCATTCCTATGGAATTTGCTCAAGTTGGCTCATTGCAACAAATAACAATAACCTCTAAAAATACAATTTATGAAAGATTGATATGGCAGTGTTGTGAAAATTTGTTATAATACTTTTTAAAATTGAAATGTCACTGTATACTTAAAATAAAATATACCATTATAGGCCAAAACATTTATATTGACATATATTAAATTAATACATAAAATCTTATTAGAAATAGCAGAATAAACACAGTATAAAATTATAAAAGAACATCATATAAAATTTGCCTTAAAAGCTAAAATCTTAACACAAGTTGTTAGAATTTAAAAATGTTAATCATTACATAGTTTTACAAAATAAGAATGCATAATATTTGACTTTATTCATAATAATATTAACCTAGTAAAAAAACATCTTCATTATTACTATTTAAATCAATTAAATGTTGTTTCACAGAACTTTGATTCCAAACAAAACTATCATGAGATGCTCCTGCAATGGATGCATCAACTGACAGTATTTTTAAATCTACATCACATATCTGTAAATATAAATAAAAAGATAGAACTAAATTATACTCTAAATTGTTATTTAGTTGATAAAAGCTTCATCAAAATAAGTGTTTACAATCATAACATTTCTAGAGTGGAAATATTTTTGCGAATAAAAAATCTTTCCTCATGTTCCCTTATTGTTGGTTTAATTATGGCCACATGAGAGCCATCAATACATCCTGGATCCGGGATCCGGTATTTTTCATGAAACCTGAAACAAAAAATTGTTTAATATTATTATAGTAAAGCTATTACATACAAATTCAAAATACTTTTATTATAGTTATAAGCCTAATACATACAATAGACACTTAGGGAGTACTACAGTACATTTACATGCTTAAAGCTAAGGTGTCTCAACTAAAATTACTTCCATATACTATATTTTAGGCTACTTTTAGCAATATTATACAGTATTCTAGATAAGTAGAACTTTTACAGTACCTTGTTTTAATAGCATCTCTTTCTTGGTGGGTTTGAGGAAACCTAATCTATTGTTTTTGAACATAATGGTGATTGAGAGCTGCTGTAACCTCTTTGATAGCACGAGATACAGATTGCTGCGACATCAGAGTGCCATATGTGTCTCCAACCAGCCTTTGGTAACTTCCAGTCGCAAAAAAACGATAGTGCAGCTAGAATCTACAATTTGGATGAAAATATTAAGTTAATCTTCTCACTAAAAAATAAGTATGTACACCTTACAAGTTGTAATGTTAACATACCTTATATTTCAGTGATATATCACTTCTTCTCTTAGGAGTTGGCATAAAAGGCTTTATATTTTCAGAAATTTCCTCAAATAAATATTTGCTCACTCGGTAATTGGCTTTAAATTCTTCCTTACTTATAGAGAACGCCTTCTCCGTATATAGCATCATTCGACGCGCATTTCGTCTCAGTTTTAACACATTTTTTTTTAAGTTTTACGTAAAATATTGTACATTACTACTAAACGAGCCATATTATCCACTTATAGTTCAGTTAAAACCACATGAAACGTGAAACAATTTCAAAAAAGTTACACTTCGGCTATTGAGTAAATCCCAATCTCCAAACGATTAGAGTTGTGTAGCTCCTGAATGAGTGATATAAAAGATATATATCATTCACGACGATAAAATGTATCACTCACTCACACTAGCTCCGAATATATCAGTAACTCAGTACTAGCTCACTAGATCATTAGATCACTAGCTCAACGACGCCGATCTTTGTTTCATGAGCGAGTGAGACTAAAGATAAATGAGTGAGATAGATGATGGTTGAGTTCACGCAAGTTTCTTTATGCAAAATGTACATTATTTCTATAGGATCAAAGTTTAATATTACTTAAGAATTAAGCCTGCAAAGTACAAGGAAAATCAAATTATGTATGATTTCTATTATACAACCTAAAAAAAAGTACAAGAAATAATTTCTTTTTTTAAATATTATATAAAAGGGTGTTAATAATTAGGTAATCTTATCAAAATGAATAAATTTTATTAAAAAAAAAGGGTTAAGAATGTAGTTTCAAAAACTGAATTTAGGTTAATATGAAAATAAAGAAAGGTTTGTATGGCGAGAGAGGCTTAAAGTGGCTTAAAGGCTTAGATGAAGAAATAAATTAATTGAGAGACCAATCAATTTATCAATAAATGAGTTGGTAAGCTAAATGAGTTGGTGAGCTAAATGAGTTAGTGAGCTAAATGAGCTAGTGAACTAGATGAGTGATATATATCTTTTGAGCGAAATGATATGTATCAATCTTTTCAGCTCAGTGATACATTTTGCGCATCACTACAAACGATACGAACTCAATTTATCGCTGTCAAACAAGCTGTCAAAAAATTCAAGAGTACCGTTTGCGTGTGGCGACTGGTAATTTCGATTTCAGTTAGTTCTCCAAATCGTCACCCAATTTGATTTCAATATGGCGCTAGTGTCGAATTCAAGAGTACGAAACTTCAAAATTCCAATGTCGATCGATCGGAATCGAATTCAAGAGTAAGGCCGCAGGACGGTATCCCCGTACGATCCGAATGACCGCTACCCGTTGCACTTTATTGAGCTTAGCTCGGCAGCGGGAGGAAGCCGATAGGTGCTTGGCCCATATCGGCGCTCCGTAGAGGGCTATGGATCGTATTACCAGTAGAGGCAGCGAACTTCCTCCCGCGGACCCCCTAGATTAGGCAACAGTCTCTGCGAGACCGCCACCCCGCGAACTCGGGGATCATCCGCTCGACATGCTCCTCGAAGCTCCAGCTTCTGTCCAGGGTGCGGCTGAGGTATTTAATGTGAGGTATTTGCGAGTGGATAGGAACTGCATCTCTGCTTTTCCTGTGGAATCACAAGGCTTCCGTCTTATGAGGTGCAACTCTTAGACCCAAACCGATATTATCTCGATATTATCGATATTATCTCGCTAAACAGTGATTATGATGTGACGGACCATTTATAAAATACTAGCTGGTGTCCGCGACTTCGTCCGCGTGGAATTTGAAAAGCGCTGCCTTAGTGAGTTCGACTCCCGGCCCAGGCAGAATTTTATAGAGGGTTTTCTGAGAGAAAAAATAGCCTAAGTTACTCTTTATATAGACAGCTACTTGCTAGTAAAATATTATCAAAATCGGTCCAGCCCTTTTGAAGATTACCCGGAACAAACAGACAGACAAACAAAAAACATTTAAACTGGTTTTTAGGCATAGGTACCGTGCAAATAGCCGTGTAAGCATGAAAAAAAACCTATTATTTTGACATTACAAACAAACACTTCAATTTTATTTATTTGTATAGATGAATATTTCAACTGATAATAATAGTAATAACTCGAGAAATTTCACACACGGTCGCCTGATTCTAAATTAGGCAGTGCCTGTGTTATGGCAATCAAACTTATGATAAAGATATTTTAATGTTTTTAAATATATTTATATTATAGATAAATTACATCCTGACACAGGAGAAATAGTTGTGCTCATCACACAATTATTTAGTCAGGGTGGAAATCGAACTCACATCCTCTGGCAAACCTGACTGCTATAGTCAGGATCGCTGACCACTAGACCAACATTCCATATGTGATACATCATAATTATTCATAAGTTTTAAAATTATGGCTACGACAAACAAGCGCTAATATTTTGCACCGTGAGATCCACATCGATTACATGCAGTAAATTGTCGACTCTAGTGACATCTAGTAATTTAACGAGACCTTAAATTTTGTAAGATGCTATAGATGGCGATGCAATCTCAATTTCTATTTTATTATTTTCGCCATTTTGAATCTGTAAAACTAAATGACACTAAAGCCTTGTTTTCTGTACACATAACGAGCTACAAACATTCTAAAAACGTTAAGAATTATTTGTCGGGAAGATATATTGTAGATAGTCACTAGGTACAACACAGAAAAACAACGACGGACAACGTAAAAATGTAGTTAAAATTTACAGTATAGAAAGGTCAGAAGCTTCTACGTAACTAGAAAACTTAGGCGATTCCCTTCTTGATCGAAGGCGATTCCGCGTTATTTGTATCATACATCCTTAAACTATTAATCTTAGATTAATTTAAGCTATTAAGATTAAAAATGGTAGTCTTGCTTCTAAATTCTATTGGATCTGTTTCGATCATTGGTGCTGAGTAAGTGATAATTTAGATATCTACTTGTCTTTTGTTGCGACACATAATGAGCACCTACATCAACTAATAATATGCGTAGCATTCTGTCACCAGGCGGGTCGGAGTTGTGGCGCACAAACGCCATCACTACCATTCTTGTACCCCGCCACTCTTTCTTCCGTCCCGCTCAACAGTAGTGTGCTACACGGACGATACTACGCTCGCTGTTGCCGGCCGAAAATGTGTGTCGCGTCCACAGTGTACTAAAGTTTATTGTGCTAGTGCTCGTGTTCTACTCTATACATTTCAAATAATTCATTTAAGCCAACGATAGAATCAAATAATGATGGCTCCCGAGACAGTGGTAACTACGGAACCCAACAAACCCCAAGGACCACCTCCTCAGCAGCAGGGTGGCAAACTTGACTGGATTAAAATCGACATTAACTACTTCAAAACTCCTCTGGGCCTCCTAAAAATTGTCCAACTAGTGAGTTCTTATTGTTTGTATATTTGTTATTCTATATATTTTTTAGTATTGTCTTGTTAAAAGACTATGGAAGTAAACTTCATTGTAACTTTGTATGTACGTCCTTCGTTAAATATATTTTTGTTTTATTTGTGTTAAGCATTAAAAAACAAAGTGAAAAAATAGGTAAACAATGTTTGAAGATAACATAAGATTTAACACAATAATACTTAGATCATCGACGCATTTAACATTACTAACGCCAAGTAAGGTCATTTATACAAGTTAAGTCTGTAATTAGTTAGAAGTCTCAGAATTAATTCTGTTCTCTTTAAGTAACGGCACATTGTTCCCAGATTTTATAATTTTCTATCTGTAGAAGCAACCGTAATTGGTTTATTCGTCGCACATTTCACAATCATTATGGTGTGCACGTTTGTACTGCGAGAGCGTGTGCATAAGCTTAATGTATTTTATGCTTATGAGTTATCGAGGTCATAAAACGTTGCATATTGTCGCTGCGAATGCTTTTGGTGTCGTGGAGGTCAGTGGGCAGAAGTAAGAAGGCAGCGGGGCGCGGCGTTTAACGAAGCAGGTTGTAGACAAGTCGGTACATGCGGAGGAGGCGAGCTTATACACCTCCATTCACCGACCGCCGGGTGCTACTTAGAAGTTTTGTAAGAGAAATAGATTTCGAGAAACCTTCGAAATGAATAAATAAACAACTTGTGTAGGAAAGACTTAATAAATGACTAGGTAGTGAAATGGTTAACTGAAAGAGTTTGAATTGAAAATCGTTGTAAGGCCGTCTAGCGTACATTTTTTGTTTTGAGTAGGTAACTTAAAGTACCTGCCTAAGTTATACTTTAATTTGAATTTCAGAATTTTCTTTTTTCGTATTTTATCTATTTATTATTCAAATTATTGTAAAAACGTTATAAGGTAATTAATCTGTCCAGGTTTTTTTCTTACGATAGTGGGCTCCTCAAACAAAAGAAAACAAGCGATTGTTCTCACGTACCCTGACGAAGCATTCGTAAGTTCATTAAAAAACCACTTCAAAGTGTATTGTTTATCTACTATTCAGATTGCCCACTTGTACTATGCTGTGTTAATGGTAGTAGATACATACTTTTATGTTGCTGATGATTCTAAATACACAACACTTGAGTTTGACCTAATAATGATGTCAACGCAGCTTATTCATTGGAATCATGCCATTTCTGATTTTAAACCGGAGGATAGAAATTTTCTTCACGAGCTTATTTGTTTTCTAAATTTTTTTAACCTAAGTGTTTGGATATAGCAGAAACGAGGCAATAATATCCGTGTGTTTAGTGTATTTAGCTATATTAAGAAGCACATACGAGTTTTATAAAAAGTTATCGTGACTCGTGATTTACTAACACATTGTGGAAAATGTAAATATTAAACTTTAGATTTGTTATTATCCTCATATATAGAGAAGATTGAATAGAGCTAGTGGAGTTGTGGCTCTAGCCGCCTACATTCAAAGGGCGACAAAAAGACAAATGCGGAAAACAATTTCTAGCGAAAACTATTTTTTTAAGTACTGAACGGCTAACTTTTTTTGTTACTAAAAGACCTTAGATTATAATCTAAATTATTAAAAATTTGAGATACCAACATAAGTAGAATTATTAATTCTTAAGGATCTGATTATATTTATTATAGCCGTGTTTATTATAGTGCGAGGAACTTTTTAATGTTTAAGAAGCACGAGTAAGTGAATTGGAGATCTGTATTTTAATTTAAATCGGTGGATTTAAATTAAAATACAGACCTCCAATATATAAATATATGGTGATATATTTATATATTGGTTGTTTTGATTTTATAATATGTTTTTACAACAATTGAGTATTTCATTGCAATTAATGTGTAGCATTCCTCTCTACCCTGATCAATATCTAAGATCTGCCCTAGATATTGATTATTGTAGAGCGAAATCTGGTTAACTTTTCCCAATTACCTCTTCTTTCAGGCGTTGTATAGCCTAAAAGAGGAGGCATGCCGTGGGGTTTTAGTTGGTTCGATTCCGATACACTGCCCATTAAAACTTGATTGGTGACGGCCTGGGAAGTTCTCACACGTACACTATACAAGGCCAGCGCTGTCCCTTAGTGTGACAACATATAAATAGGTAAACATTTTTTGGTAAGGAATAATAATGCCTTTTATAAATTTTAGTACGAAAGATTCGTCATAAAATTTTGAATGGGCGTGTGCCGGTGTGCCTGCCCTCGCTCGCCTACTCGAGCTCGACGCTCGCTGATATCATCGGCTGTCCTTCCTTGCCTCTATCCTAATAACACGATACCCATATAAGTACGTTCAATTTTGGATCAGAACAATAGTTGCAGCTGTGATCATAATTTGTAAATCATCAATTATTACATAAGTGAGATAACTGTCATAGAGTACTTAACACAAAGAAGTAAGAAAATTTGTTTTTTATTTCAACACCAAAACAATCTTTGTAAACAATACATTAATGATTGAATTATGTCACAAACTTTATAAATATGAAACATTACGTAAGTAATTCATCCTTAATCTATCCATCAATAATTCCAGTCGTTCATCTGAACAAAGTGGTTTAAATAAATGACTGAAATTATTGACAAAAGATTAATAAGTTACTTATTTGGAATGTAAAAATTTATCAAATGACTATTTTGATTTTATTTTTAGAACGTTTATAGTGAAGCGAAAGTAGTTAAGTAAGGCACCTAACTGCAGACATGTGGTAAATACTATGACAGAATAGTCCAACGGCAAACATCTGCTTTTTTTAAATCAATCTCTACCTAACAAATATGTATACGACTATTAATTTCCTTCTTAAACACACATTTACGCCTTTATCCTCCAAGGTGTAGGCACAAACTATAATTTTTATCCCACTTACGCAAAAGGCGGCAAGCCTCTTCGGCACTTTAGGAAGTAGATGAAAAATTGCAGTTAAGATAGAAAAGGGCTTTTGAGGACTCATTGGAGAGTGTAAGCAATAGCTTATCACAGGTCGACAGATCAGGGTCGTGTTCTGTAATTGGAACTGATTGTTGCCGGAAAATGCAAGCCCTCTAACCTGCCTTGGTAAATATAAATCGAAAATACAATTTATCAGGACTTTCTGTATAGGAACAGAAATTATTGTTTACTAAAACCTATGAGTTATAGAATTTCTGTAAACAATAACTCCTTATCTTTGTATGTTCTATCCTATTTATCTTCTTTAATATATTAGATAAAGCAAATGTTACAGTCGGTAAACCTTTGTAATGAATCACTTAGTGCATGACAAGAGCTGCATTGCCATGGAAATTAGTTGCACTTTAACTTCAATTACACTAATTGATCTAATAACTAGTCTTCCTTATAAATCCTGCATTAAGTTGTAATGAAAAGGATGCTGTATCCTGTTTACTTACTAAGGTTATCCTGTCTAAGGTTTGACGTTCAAAACGTATAGTCATAGTTAGAGCGAATACTAAAATATACTCTGAACCAAAGATAAACTGTAATGCTTGTAACAAAATTAATATAACCGAATGTAGTGATCAATGCTCGCTATTTATGTTCATCATCATCATCATAATCAACAGCCTTTAATAGTCCACTGCTGAGCATAGGCCTCTCCTTAGAAAGGAGGTTTTGGCCTACTACTTATGGCTATTTATGTTAATCCAATACATTCAGTCGTGTAAATTTTAAAAATGGAGGTGGATAGAATTGACAGTAAATTTTCGGTGCGGACCGGTCCTCTTCTGTCCGTATTAACATCCCCACGGTCCATGATATTGGGCAAGCGTTACTGTTATTTAACACCAAAATCTAAATGAAAAGAAACGCAAATTTATCAAAATGAAAGTTTTCAAAAGATGATTACAGAAATATATCAGAAATACAAATATATATTTATCATTTAGTATTCGCATAATGATGTCAATTTTTTATTTATGATTTGTTTATGACTAGCGTTAAAACTGGATGCGCCTACGAAGCTTATTATACTGTATCTATTTCACATAATATACATAAGTTTTAAAACATATAAGCTATTTTGTAGGTCTTGTGAAAGTTAACAAGTATGTGAGTATGGCTTTCGCTTTCTTTATATTACGAAACAGTTTTAACTTCACATTGCCGTCGTGTCAGAAGAATCATGTTGTATAGAATATGCGAAGTTTTATTCCAAATTGATTTACTTTACCAACACATATTTTTTTTTCATTTTTTACGTTTTTATAAAATCTTTATGTAGCATAGCATGCCATCCTCAATGTTTTGAACGGTGTACTTTAATGCAAGACGATTGCTACATAGCTTCTCAGTGGAAATTTGAAGTTTGTTTGCAGCCTGTTGCAGTTCTCCCGAGGCTTATACCTATATATCCTGAGATTGAGATTATAATGTGAAGTGAACTTTCAGCTTAATATTGTTTAGCAGCCGATACAAGTTTACTTAAAGCTAATTCTGATTTTGATTTAAAAAAAATAAATTTCAAAGATAAATTTTAATCCTCTTCTAAAGTCAAGTGTGTCTATAGTCCTTATACTATAAGCACCACAGTGAAAGTCGGTTGAATGTTAGTTTCTTTTCATTCTTTTTTTTATAAGCAATGTTTTTTTTGGGTCATAGGTTTACTAAAATAATCAGTTTGTTAAATAATTGCCAAATGTTTTTACGCCTACCCACGTATAAAATAATAAACAGAATTTCAATCTGAGCAGGAAAAATATTCAAGTCCCGAAAAAAAAATACTAACTTGCAATATCTTGGTGGAATAGGTATCTTATCATTGACCGATTAAAGCGTCAATTTGATAACTTATTTTATCTTTTTCCTTTTAAATGTTTCCAGGTGACTCTACATTACTGGTTTTTGGTTTTGGTATTATAATTACTTTACTACTAATCAATTAACTTAGCGTCAATGACTCATAAACTATCTATATCAGATCCCCATTGCTCGTAAAATGATTTTGGGTGTAACAA